GAGGTAAAATGATACTACTTAGAATTATGAAATCTTAAGGATTCTTTAAATCATCTAGGTGATCTGTTCACATAATGTATCTCCCTGTGACATCCATTACTTCTATAATACATCCAGGTATAGGAGGCTCACAACCCTGCAGGACAACTCGCTACTTCTTAAATTTTAATTCTTACATTATCTACATCGTAACTTAATTTTTCAATTAGTTTAACTGTAGAGTTACTCTGTCTGTCTAAGTCTACTTTTTTCCTTACTCTCCTTCCTTACTTACATGCCCTTCCTTGCATCTTTTATATATGACCTCTAAAAATCTACTTTCTCTGCAGGTCATTGGTTTCTTTAGGTCTTTTATCTGTTTTTTTTTATTGGAGAAGGTGCTATTCATTGGAATTTTGTTTTTAAAACTTGCCTTTCCTGTAAAGTCATATTCCCATTAGAGAGCTGGTCATTGTTATAACACCTGTGTCTTCTCTGAACATTTTTGAAATTCTATATCCCAAACTCTCAAATGACTATGATTGGACTTGCTTTCATTTGCATTGATGAGCTCTAAAATGGCACCATCTCATGACCCCTGGGCTCTCATCATTCGTGTGTAAACTACACTCCCAGATAATCTTTCCCAGAAGTATGGAACAAAAAGGCTCACAGACCAAATTAAATCACATGTAAAACACATAGAGGCAAGAAATAGGATGAGTTAATACACTTAACATAAGGTTCAGGCAACTTGGAAGAACCACACCACTTGAATCCTAAGTTCACAATGTGAAGATTGTCTATCTATCTCTCCCCCCTCCCTTCTTCTTCTTCCCTCCTTCTCCTTTTCCTCACCTGACCTCCTCCATTCCTCCCTCTATGAGGATTTTGCCTTCATAATGGCTCCTTAAAAATATTGAGTTCCACTTGGGTAAAATGGTCGACATAGATTGGGACAAAAAAGTCTTAAAAGTCAAGCTAAGGGCCCGGCGCGGTGGCTCACGCCTGTAATCCTAGCACTCTGGGAGGCTGAGGCGGGCAGATTGTTTGAGCTCAGGAGTTCGAGACCAGCCTGAGCAAGAGCGAGACCCCATCTCTACTAAAATTAGAAAGAAGAAAATTAATCGGACAACTAAAAATATATAGAAAAAATTAGCCAGGCATGGTGGCGCATGCCTGTAGTCCCAGCTACTGGGCAGGCTAAGGCAGAAGGATCACTTGAGCCCAGGAGTCTGAGGTTGCTGTGAGCTAGGCTGATGCCATGGCACTCACTCTAGCCTGGGCAACAGAGTGAGACTCTGTCTCAAAAAAAAAAAAGTCAAGCTAAGGAATGTAAACCTCTATCCTATGTGTAACTCCTGTAAGCATTCAGCATAGGGCATGGCACCTAGTGGATATAAAATACATTATTTTAGTGAATATTGTGGTCACAAAGAAAATCTTCTTAGAATGGGTAATTTTAAAAATATATTGAATTCTTTTTTTTACCATAAGTAAGAGATTAATAAGATAGGTGATGACATAATTTGAAGAAAATATTATTGGAAAAATGCTTTACTCTTAAATTAAAAGTTGGGTTTCCTTTTTAAATCCCATTCTCTCAACCTTGCCTTCCACAGAAATTACTTTAGTCTATCTTGAGCCAAATCATCTACCCCTGTGGACTGGGCCATGGCCTGGTACCCGTCTGTGGCCTGTTAAGAAACAGGCTGTGCATCACTGCCTGAGCTCTGTACCCCACTCCATGACACCCCACCCCCACACCCCCGGTTCATGGAAAAATTGTCTTCCATGAAACCAGATCCTGGTGCCAAAAAGGTTCGGGACCACTGAATTCATTCTCACTAATTTCTTTTCTGATTATCGCTAAAGATAACTTCCCCTCCTCAGAACCTCTCTAGTATTTATTTTATATCTCTCTTCTGATCTGGAAGGGTTTTGTTTTTGTTTTTTGGTTTTTTTGGTCTTTTTTACATATTTGCCTTCATTATAATTATTTATATATCATATTCCATTTTTTAAATTTAATTTTAAGCTTCTGAAAAACAAAAACCATGTATTATTTATATCTATATTCCTTAGAGGGCTTCCCATGATACCTTCCTTAGCACACAGATGATATTCAATAAATATTTGTTGAATGCATGGAAGAACTATTGCATAACCCAATCTAGTATCCTAGGAATCAACTGAGACAGTAAAAATCATCTCCTAGAAGAGAGGTCAACTTTTCCTGTAAATATGAATAAATATTTTAGACTTTGCAAGGCAAGAAGCAAAATCAAGGATATTACTTAGGAACTTATGTAACAAAAAAGAAAACAAATTTTCACAAAATTTTTATTTATGAAATTAAATATATGAGTACAAATTTTTGTATACAAGTCTACTAATGAGAAAAAATAGCATCTTTGGAGGGGACATTTACCTTATTACAGTTCCCTATCGTCAAAATTTTCTGTTCATCAATTAATGCTGACCTGTAATGAGATTTTGAATATTTTACATATTTCATCTTTGAAACTTCTTTTCACACAGATAGGTACTGCCAAATACTGCAGTTCATGAGTATATGATTTTAATTGAGCATATTCATTGGTTGGAAGGAATTTATAGAATTCTGTTAGGTTCTTCTCTTGATATTTGCCTTTTAGCATGTCATTACATTGTAGATTAATCATTTCCAATTGAAGGTTAGGTGAAAACTCCTCAAGTGCACAATCAAATGGATTTTGAAATATAGAAATTTCTGGCATCTAGATCTAAAACATGCTGCTGAAACTGTTTGAGCTCAGAAAATCTACCCACTATATTTGTGTGAGAATGGAGATCTCACTTCTTGTTTTAATTTTTGACAGCACCAGAAGTGTATAAAGCTACTTAACATTACTTATGATTCAAACCTTAGTTGTCATTAAAATGACTTGCCCACAGTATATGTTTCACATATAAGCACTGTTTTGCCTTATAATTTTAGTTTTAATTCATTAATAAACATTATAAAGTCTGTAGCAAAACTTAATTCCTAAAGCCATTCTTTTTGTTCAATCTTACTGAGGACAGTTCTCATTCAGAAAAATTTTAATCTCAGTCTAAAAAAGATCTCAATAAAACTTGACCCCTGCTAAGCTATCAAACTGCTGTGTAATAGGACAAGACAGGATATTTGGTTTCTATTTCTGGGGAAAAAAAAAAATCATAGAACTAATGAATTCTGTGAAGTTTTAAATCCACAAGCACTGATGGAGTTCACTATTGACACAGCAGGTTCGATAATACATGCTAGATTCAAATATTTTCCTCAGAGTACCTGGTGGTGAATAATACAATGAATATCAACAGTTTTAAACACCTTACATTTTCACGAGCTTTGTTAATTTGTCCAATAACTTTTTTTCTGATCCATAGCTATCAGTTTTATTGCATCTTAGCAGATTCCACTTCTAGTTGTACTGATTTAGTGTTTTCTTAACTTCTTTAAAAATATTCTTATTTTTAGACACCCTACAGACTGTTTATACAGGTTAATTCTTTAGTCTCTTCAAACTCAGCATTAACCCTTGAATGAACAACTGAGAAGTATTGTTAACTTCTATGACTCATCAAGAACCAAGGAAAACTACTCAAAAACGTTTGTCTTCTTTTTTAATTGTCTATTGATGCTGCTCCAGTATCCTCAACATTTCAAGCAACTGTTCTTGCCAAAATGCTAACAGTCTTAAACAAGTGTATTTTTGCTACATTATTTAATTAAGTCATCATCAATAAGGGACTTTCCTTTTGGGGCTAACAAATGAAATGAATACTCAGAAACTTACTTTAGTTGCAGCCTCATTTTTATTTTATTGCAAAGAAATTCCGCTGTGATAAAATACTCCATTTTAAATTTGTATTTTTTCTGATAGTTGCATTCCTGTGAGGTGGGAATATTGTATTGAGTGCCTGGTCTGATAATGTTGATGTATACTGTGTATTTTTTAAGCAGATCTATGGTGTCATTGCAAAATACACACAAGGTTTTGCCATCTAATTTAATAACAAAAATAATCCGTATTCCATGTGCCTTAGAAACATAACATTCGAAGTCCACTTTCCTCTTCTTGTTTTGATATGATAGATATGCACTGGTAATAAAACAAATAAAATAAATAAAGCATCACAGTAATACATTGTATGTTCCATTTGAAACACTGTCAAATGAAAACTGCATCACTGCAATGTGTAGTACACCAAGCATCAGTGCAAAGCAATGAGAGTGCCACATAAGGTCTCTACCATAACTACTCAATTCTGCTATCATAGTGCAAAAGCAACCATAGACAATATATAAATGAATGTGCATGGCTGTTTCAATAAAACTTTATTTATGTATACTGAAATTTCAATTTCATAGAATTTTCACATTTTTAAATATTCTTCTTTTGATATTTTTTCAACATTTAAAAATGTAGAAACTATTCTTAGTTCATGAGCTCTACAAAAACAGATAAAGGATTGGATTTGGCTTGGAAACTATAGTTTGCCAGCCCTGATTTAGGATTTAGTTTTAAGGATATAGTTTGCTTTCTTATTTCCAATCAAACTATTTTTAGTAAATTTTCTGGAATCATGTATGGTTGAGGAATAGAATTTTCTTCTTAAGGAGACATTAATCAGTTATTAGAGTTGTCATGTACACCAGAGTATAAACCAAAGTTAGACTATAACAAACATACTTCATACCCAGGCTGCATAAGTCAGAAGATACTGATGGACTTTGTACTGCCTCAGCTTTTTCATTTTAAAAAGCCAAAATCATTGTATTTACTATAATTAGAGATTTCAAGTGAGTGGTAGTTGTTCCCAAAATATTTTTTAAACATTTCACTTATTTGGGAAAGAAGCCCAGGATATTTCCCAAAGCTGGGCAGTATGTCAACAGCAGCCTTTCAGAACACAACCCTTTTTACATTTATTGAGCCTCTAGATTGATTTTCTAGGAACTTCCCCAGTATTCATTTCTTATCTGTGTTATTTAGGGAATCAGAGGCAGCCCAGGAAGAACAGGACTGGCTGGGTCTCCAGGTCCTCGAGGAATAAAGGGTTCATCAGGCCTGCCAGGAAGCCCAGGAGTTCTAGGCCCAAAGGTACTTTAATATCTTGTTCTGATGGATGTGCAGTATTGGCCATCCTTACTGGCCCTAAGTTCATTGTCTAGATCACAGGATGGTAAGATTAATAACTGTTAACAAAATTTGACTAGTAATGAAAGTACATTAGGGAAAATGGAAAGTGTGTGGCCTTGACATATCCATCATCCAAGATAGCCACAGTGCATGTGTTTTGGCATAACAACTCATTAACCCAGAACTAGTGATGCTTTAAAAAATTTTGTCTTTGACTCTTTTTGGTTCTTCTTCCTTCTCTATCATCTACTTTCTCCTCCAAATCAGAGAAATCTTATTTACTCACAGATACATACTTTCTTAAATATACTTCCTATTCCTCGAACTCTGAACTAACCAACCAATTAATAAATCTGATAACAGTAGATTATTTCTTAGAGTCAATGTAATAGTATGTAAGGCTTGCTTTAGCATTCTTTGCATGAAGTTTTGTCACATCAGTAGACTTTCCAGACAAAACCTCTCTTAGAAATATCTCAGTGCAGGATTGACCCAGACAACTTAGAGAGTAATCAAGTGTCTAAAGCTCTTTCATAAAAACCTAGGACTGAGACATTGGCAACCTTATCATTATTACCTCTTGACTTTATTTTCACAGTTCCACTTATAAAGAATATTCAGGTTTCTGACTCATATGGGTAAACTGAAAATGATGACCCAGTTTCTTACTGTTTACAATTTCAGCCTTCTGTTAATGTTTATTCCATGAATATCCCGTTATACTAAAATCCAAGGCACCTGAGCAAGTGCTAAACCTAGGAAAAGAAATAAGAAAGATCCCTACCTCCTATGTGTGCATCTGTAATTGAAAACCATATTTGTTAAGTCCCGAAGTTATAGCTTTGTCTCAAGACATTGAAGGGTAATTTGCTAATCTTAAAGAATCTTTGGACAAAATCTACCATTATCATTTTTCATTAGCCTATCTCTAAAATCCACCTGATTCTTAAGTTTATTTTTTGAAATGGTATGAAAGGTATTCCAACTCTCATTTCAAAAACATTTTAAAAATATTACAATGGTGATTAAGTATATACTTAAAGTGAACTTTTGGGAGATAAATACGGTTTACATCAAAGGAACTAAGGAGGCAGAAAATGGAAATTTTTTTCATGATGGAATTGGTAAGAAAATCATGACTAAAACCAGGGTTCACACTTATGGAGACTACTCTGTTTCTGGTATCAGATCACTGAACCATCTCTGGATGGCATGAAAACACAGCAAAATGGTATCAGTTCAAATAAAAACAAGTTCCATCACATATAGACACACCCCCCACACACACCACAGCCTTGCCGTACTCTCTGAAGCCCTACTATCCCCCTCCTAGTTTTGCAGGTTTCCCCCTTCCCTCTTTACACACTTATCACCACAGTCTCTGGAATTTTCTTTTCCCACTGGTACCCTTCTTGTTCATTTAATTAAATATTACTTGTGTGGAAAATATTGGTGAAGAGGATCATGCAGAGTTTGATTTCTCCAGTGCTTTGTACTGTGCCTAAGGATGGGCCTGTATTTGGGTTTCATTTAAAAGCCAGTATGTTTATAGTTTAGTCTAAAGTTAAGATCACCTTTCTTTGCTCTGTCCATAGGGTGAACAAGGACTACCTGGTCAACCTGGAATTCAAGGTAAAAGAGGTCACCGAGGAGCACAAGGTGATCAAGGACCATGTGGAGAGCCCGGCCTGAAAGGGCAGCCTGTATGTGCCAACTCAGAAATTCACCAAGCACTTACTCTACAGACAGGCCTCCATTGCACAGTAATGATTGTCTTGTCTGTTCACATTGCAGGGAGAACATGGTGTTCAAGGTTTGACAGGTTTCCAAGGATTCCCAGGCCCCAAAGTATGTTTACGTATTTTGTGCTAATCTTCTAGCTATGTAGAAAAAAGGAGAGATGTTGAAATATCAATACTTAGTCTCTGACTTAAGGTTTTTTGTTTTTAATCTGCAAAATTTCAGTTGGTACAGAGTTATATATTTCTGTTTTGAATATGTTAGTTTCACAACTTATGTAATTGTACATTTTTCTAACAGTTTTACCTGTATGATTTGCTTTTGTTCCCTCTCATTCCTTTTTCCAAAGCATTTTATTATGAAAAATTTCAAGCAAATGGCAAAGTTGAGAGAATTTTACAATGAACACCTATACACATTCCCTAGATTTTACCATTAACATTTTACCTCACTTACAATATCATGGGCTTGTCTATCTATCCATCTCTCTCTCTCTCCATTTTTTTGTGTATTTCTAAGTAAATTACAGCCCTTAGTATACTTCTTCCTAAATACTTCAGCATGTACATCAACCATCACATTTCATTTTTTGTGCCAATTCTTGATAGATTGATATGAGATTATTTCATTTGTAAAATGTTCATATAGAGCTAAAAATTTTATCTTTTTGTTTTTTATTGTGTATCTAGGGTCCTGAGGGGGATGCTGGCATTGTTGGAATATCAGGTCCTAAAGGTCCTATTGGACAGAGAGTAAGTGTGAAGTCATTCTGCCTACCCAGAAATTGTGGTTCTTTGCTTGTTACAGGACTTAAGAGCTCTAAAATTAATATACTCAAATAAATAATTTAATAAAATGACTTTTAAGATAGAAACTCATAAGAGCACATGCCAAGTTCAACCTTTTGCATTTCATATATTAGTTTGAGCAAATTACCCCATCGACCACCCATACTTCCCAGTTCTTGTTTAAAAAAAAAGAATCATCAAAATTACTGTGAAGACTGGATAATGTATTTATTAACTCACACCAGGAACAAAAACATAAAGCAGTTTCATGTTATAAGCATTAATACAACCAGAGACCAGAGACCACCCCCATGCACCACCTGGAGGAGGTTCTAGTATGACCAGAGCTCTTGAGACCACACTTTGAAAAATACTTCCCAATAGCCGTGTTTTCCCAGCTCAGAGGCAGGTATCCCCAGAGAGCGATGAGGAATTGCTTTTAAAGAGTTGCAAAACTCAAGGTCTAAGGAACTTCAATTAGCAATTAGTGCCTGTAATTGCATACTGTAGAGAACATAAATAGGACAAATAAGCCACCAGCAGTTACTGATTATTGTTTTTTTGTTTGTTGCTTTTTTTGTTTTGTTTTAGTTTTTATTAATCACATCCTCTTAATTGATGAAATGGTCTATAAAACTGAAAAGAAAAAAAGGTTAAACTTTCAACAACATTTTGGCGATAGTAATAGCATCTCTATGAGTAACGGCAGCTGCTAGAGCAAGTGTGGAGAGATCAAAGGAAGAAGGATGGGCCTGCATCTGAACAAAGTTCAGATGTAGGAGAAAGGAATCTTAAAGAACTATGAAATGAAAGTCAAATTTTTGAAATCCCACACCCCTTCCCTAACTCCTTTTTTTTTAATTTCAGAATTTTACAGGGGTACCCACGTTTTAGTTACATAGTTTGCTTTTGTACAGTTTGAGTCAAAGTTTTGAGTGTGCAATAAATTCTTCTCAATAATACAAAGAACAGTATTTTCATGGGAATTGTTTGTTTACAGACCCTTCTAAACATTTCTACAGGTATAAATTTATTAGTTATTTTCATCATTTCTGAAGAACTAAGGAAAATTGGTACTTTTATATAAAGTTCAATTCTCGATTATCCACAGGTAGGAGCATAGGCTTCTCTGTAATAAATACTGCTTTTAAGTTCTTAATTTATATGACGTCCCCCCATTAGTTAAATTTATTCATTCAAGTTTTATTACATTCTCAATTAATTAAATCCTTCCTTGATATTGTCAAGGAAAAGTTGGCTACCTACCTCGCACCTGTTAGAAGCAGAGTCTCACGAAGTGCTGGTCTCTGCAGGCCAGGATCTGAACCTATACTGCTTTGCAGGTCCAGAAATTTTCTCAGCCTACCAGTAGTAAAGTTCTGGTAACTAGCTCACAAATACAATTTATAAGCACAGATATTTGTTTAATAAGTCATTATAGGAGATAAATAAAAAGTCTTGATAGTCTGGTATTTAGCAAGAGACAGAGTACCAGGTAAAGGTGTTCGGTTTGTGTCCCTTATCTCATTTAATCCTCATAAAAATTCTATGAGAGTGAGAGATGCTATTATCCCCATGTTGCAGGTAGAGAAACAAAGTCTCTGAAAGATAATTTGCTGAAGGCCATTATGGGACTAGTTTGTAGAGGAGGCAGAATTTGAATCTACCACCTGATTGCCCAAATCATGTTATAAGCTTGCTTGCTAATTGCAGAATTAAAATATAGAATGGATATGAAGTGGCCTAGTGCCTAGTACTAGCCCAACAATTAGTAAATATTTGATGATTAAATAAAATTAATTGAACTAGGAAACCTGGATTAATTATTCTCCATTTCAAAGGTATATTGATGTAGATAACTGGTACCCACCATTAAAATTATAACACCCCATCTTTTGAAAATATTTACGTAAATAAAAACAATTGTTTGCTCTTTTGGTCCACTTTTTCTAGAGTCCATGTATACCTCTCCATTCTTTTAACAAATCATTATTTCGGATAGTCTCATCACAGTTAAATTTCTTAACATTTTTTTTAGTGATAAGCCAGTCTAGAGGATACATTCGATTAGGTTAAGAAATAGCCCCCCTGATTTAATTGTGGATCTTTGAAATTTGGGTACTATATTTACAAATATCACTTAAAGTTGATTTTTGTGCTTAAAAGTGATTCTGTTAGATTTACTTTTAGAATATCAGATAATTTCTCTTATACTATGTCAACTTAATATTAAAGCCAGCAGTTAGGCGGGCATGGTGGCACATGCCGGTAGTCCCAGCTACTCAGGAGGCTGAGGCAGGAGGATCGCTTGAACCCAGGAGTTTGAGGTTACAGTAAACTATGATCGTGCCACTGCATTTCAGCCTGGGTAATAAAGTGAGACCTTGTCTCTAAAGAAAATCAGAAAATAAAAAATAAAATAAAACCATCAGTCAATGGACCACATGACTGTAATAAAACTAGAATGAACAAATTTAACTAGTGAGAGATCTTAGTATAAATAACTTAAAAGCAATATTTATTATAGAGAAGTCTGTCCATATATATCTACAGATAATTAAGAATTGGACTTTACATAAAAACGTAATTATTTCAATCAATAGTCTGTTCTGTACCTTGAAGAAAAAGCCTGATAGATATCTGCATTTATGTATTCCAGGTTAAGTGTGAGCCAGAAATTTGCAGCCAGTGGGAGTTGGGGTGGAGTTTGTTGGAAAAAAACTATTTTGTATTAATCAAGAAATGATAAACTCCATAAATAGTCTGGGAAAAATTGACCAGAGATCCAGCTTATTGAAGGTTACTTCCTAATCAAAGAACAGCTTAGAGTTTTAAAAGCACTTTTCGTATTCTCACAATGACCCTATGTTCTTATTCCTACTTGACAAATGAAGAAACTGAAGTTCAGTTTGTCACATACAATGCCCACTGGTTCCTTCCTAAACACTTTCTCTATTCCATGCTTCATGTTACTCAAACATCTGCTCCTTCAGCATCTGCACAGAAATTTATTCAAAAACATGTTCATCATTTCATTTTTATATAGTTTTATTTGTTATGTAATGACACACATATAAAATGCATCATTGAAATTATCACCACATAAAAATTGTAATGATGGGCAGACATGGGGGGGAATTGTAATGGTGATTTATCGATTCGTTAGAAATTATTCAGATGTTACTTTCCTGATAGGAAACTATAATAATATGCAGAACTGTGTGACACATTGCTTAACCAAGATTACTATGATTTATGCTGATACCATAGGATTTTATAATAAAAAGTACAATTATGTAAACATGGCTATCTTACCATTGCACAAGAAATTTTATAAATTTTTGTACAAGAAATTTATAAATTTTTATGAATTATGTTGATAATGAGACTATTTTTCTTTTACCTCAACAGGGAAACACTGGTCCCCTTGGCAGAGAAGGTGTAATAGGCCCAACAGGTAGAAATGTAAGTTTGTCAGAATATAGATCTTCTTTCTTTTTCATACTTTTTTTTCTTTAATCCTATTTCTCGAATAACCCCAAAGAATCAGCCTGGGTATTCTATTTTTTTTTTAATTTTTCATTTTAATTATAATGGTATATAATAGTTGTATAACTTTATAGGGTACATGTGATTGATGTTTTGATACAGGCATACAGTGTGAATTAATCAAATAAGGGTAACTGGGATATCACCTCAGGTATTTATCATTTCTTTGTGTTAGGAACATTCCAATTCCAGTCTTTTAGTTATTTTAAAGTATACCCTAACTTATTGTTGATTGTAGTCATGATGTTAAGCTATCAAATATTGTTCATTCTATCTAACTATCTAACTATATTTTTCCATCCATTAACGATCCCCACTTTATCCCTCCCCTCCCCACTATCCTTTACAGCCTCTGGTAACCATCATTCCACCCTCTTGTCTCTATGAGATCAATTTTTTTTTTTTGAGACAGTCTCACTCTGTTGCCCTGGCTAGAGTGAGTGCCATGGCATTAGCCAAGCTCACAGCAACCTCAAACTCCTGGGCTCAAGCGATCCTACTGCCTCAGCCTCCCGAGAAGCTGGGACTACAGGCATGCACCACCATGCCTGACTAATTAGTTGTCCAGATAATTTCTTTCTATTTTTTTAGTAGAGACGGGGTCTCGCTCTTGCTCAGGCTGGTCTCGAACTCCTGAGCTCAAACAATCTGCCCACCTCGGCCTCCCAGAGTGCTAGGGATTACAGGCATGAGCCATGGCGCCCAGCCTCAATTTTTTTTTTTAATTTAGTTCCCACATATCAGTGAGAACATCCAAGATTTGTCTTTCTGTGCTTGATTTATTTCATATAACATGATGTTCTCTAATTTCATACATGTTGTTGCAAATGGCAGGATTTCATTCCTTTTGTGGCTATATAATATTCCATTGTGTATACTGACCATGATTTCTTTATCCATTCATCTGATGATAGACACTTAGGTTGATTCAAAATCTTGGCTACTGTGAATAATGCTGCAGTAAACATGGGAATGTAGATGTTTTTTCGAGGGACTGAACTCCCCTCCTTTGGATATGTACTCAGCAGTGGCATTGCTGGGTCATATGGTAGTTGTATTTTTAGTTTTTTGAGGAAACTGCATACTTTTCTCCATAGTGGTTGCATTAATTTACATTTCCACCAACAGTGTATGAGGGTTCCCCTTTCCTCAGATCCTTGCCAGCATTTATTATTGCCTGTCTTTTTGATAAAAGCCATTTTAACTGGGATGAGATGATATCTCATTGTATTATAGCTTAGATTTGCATTTCTCTGATGACTAATAATGTTTAACATTTTTTCATATACCTGTTGGCCATCTGTGTGTCTTCTTTTGAGAAATGTCTATTCAGATCATTTTCCCATTTTTAACTGGATCATTTGATTTTTTCCTATTGAGTTATTGGAGCTACTTATATTAAATATTCTAGTTATTAATGCCTTGTCAAGTGGGTATTTCAGAAGCAAAGGGTAAAAATAGACATACATTTTCTTCTGTAAATTGATTCCTGAGAACTTAGGGATCATATGTGCATTGAAGAAGGTCTAAATAGGTAAGCATTTCAAACTGAAGTTGAGAAAAGAAAATAGACTGAGTCAGGGAGGGAGGCGGATCATAAGCATAGAGATGATCGCTGAAGTAATAAAAATGAATCTGAAGGAGAGAACAGAGATAGCAAGAGAATGGTAGATATCCAAGATTTGAGTCTTTGGGAGTAACCACTGTCAAGGAGAGAAAGAAATCACTGGTGAGAACAGCAGGAAAACCAGGATAAGTACAAGGTTACAAAGATGTGAGTTTCCAGAACAGAATGGTCAGCAGTGATGTTTGACAGAATAAGTGGCAGTAGAAGACACAGTACAAGTTACAGTAAAGAAGGAAGTAAATGAAAATATTGAATAATAACTTTTCAAATTCTTACAGCAGAGTTTTAGAGTAGACATTATTATTTTCATTTAATAGATTAGAAAACAGATGAGGTTTATAGAGATGCACTGAGTCATTCAAGGTGATACACCTGGTGTTCCTTACATCAAGATCAGTCTTCTTCCCATTCCATTCAAGCTATGTCTGGAGAGGAGATTGACAAAGTCTATGCCAGTGCTTTAAGAAATTTGGCTATGAAATAAAACAGAGATACAAGACAATGATTGGGGAGGTGGTCATTGGGGAAAGTTTTGCACTGCTGATCAATAGCGTAAACAAACAAGACAAGGAGCACAGGAGAAAGGGCCAAATTGAGGCTTGGGGAGGAAAGATTCATTACCTGTAGGAAATCAATATTTTGAATCCTTCGAAAGTGTTATGGATGTACATACAGAGTTTAAAAATATAAAAATGGAATGCTTCAAATATTAAGTACAACCGTTCTCTTTGATAAATTTAGAGAAGAATTCACCACCATAGTTACTGGATTTTTAATCAAAGGAAATAAAATGTATAACAACTAGACTTTCAACATTTGCCTCTCAGAGGTATGTAAGGTTGTGAGTGGCAGAATTCTCATGTTTCAGTGGGTACTTCTTTAGCAAGCTAAAGAACACATACTGTTCTGATTACAGAATGATTGTTCTCTGTCAAGACTGTGATGTATTAATTGGTCAGGGAAAATGTGATAAATAAATGGCTCAATTAAAATTTCTTACTGTGTTGTGTTTATAGATAGACCTTAAAGGACCTTATAATATTCAACATGCACATCAAATTTTTTCTATATTCTATTTTTTCTATTCTAAGAAGAAAAGTTCATTATGAAAGGATAAACATTTAAGAATGGCAAAAACACTGTGCAAAAAATAGTTATGGGGAGTGAGGGG